ACCTTATTCCTCAACATGGGCCAGTCCACACACCGTATCATCACAATGTCCCAATACCCCGCATCCGCTCTCCAGAAACACACTGGCAGAGGGCTTCAGCAACACGCTGACAGGGTTCTCAAATAATCACGTACAGGAGTAGCCAACACCCTGGCAGAAGTCTCTAGCAACACACTAGCAGCACTCACCAGCACGCGAACACTATTGTCGTCTCGTAACTCCTCTTGGCCAAATCCCGGGTCGTCAGTCCACACAACACTGCATAAGTATAACAGCCTAACACACTGCTACTACCGACGGCGGCCACTTTGTCCTCTCACAGGACCAAGTCAGGAATTCTGGACTGACCAAGGAGAACTGCTCTCCTCAGCTCAATCGCCTCGTCACGTCACTTCTGTGAACATAAACGTCATTAGCTAGACAGACAGTATACTGGGTGGCCTTAGGATAACACCCTTCTGAAAGAACTTCTGAAAAGATTTCGGAACTGTAATTATAATTGCATGCACAACCTATGTGGGTTGATATCTTTCCTCCACCCACCAGAGGTCATCACCATCGACCTCACCTCCTAACTGAGGTATGAAACAGGAGCCTTTCACCGACGCAACACCACCGTCAACAGATGACGTTGTCTGCGTCTCACCTAATACCTGGGAGTTGGAGTGCCGGTCCATAGATGGCGCCGAAATGGCCACGCCAGCAACGATGTTGATACCATAACAATAAGTATATATATACAAATATATATATATATATAAATATACTTTACTAACAGATAAAACGAGAGTCAAATACGACCCACGCTACTAGATAGCGGTACTCGACGCTACCCCCCCCATCCCAAATAACGGTACGCGACGCCTCCTCCTCAAAACAACGGTACTCAATGAGTACCCCCCCCCCACCCCCTGGTAAATGGGGGGGGGGGGCGCCCCATCCACAGTTGGACAAGGCGTCAAAAGGAACGCATCCCGTTTTCTTTATTGAGAATTTATGGTGGTGAACGCGTCGCCGGCATGAAATAAAAGTGAATTCATCAACAAAAGTGGCAGACAGCTCACGCCTGGCCTGTCTCCACAACACTTTATTGCTGGGTTCCTGCCGCCCCTCTCCCCCCCCCTCCCCCGCCCCCCCCCCCTCCCCCGCCCCCCCCCTCTCTCTCTCTTTGGCTTTCATATACCGGTACAATGATATATATTTTACGTGTGTGTGTGTGTGTGTGTGTGTGTGTGTGTGTGTGTGTGTGTGTGTTCTCGGCGTTCGTGTATGTGTATTTACTATTTTTTTGTATTTACTATTTGTGCCTGCAGAATGGAGCTATTAGCTCTTGGCTAATTGGTCTGCTGCCGCCACTGAAAGGCGATAGATAGTGGTAGCCTTTCTAAGTAATTTATTTTTCGTCTATTATATCTACTACTTATATTTCTCTCTAACACACACACACACACACACACACACACACATCCCCAGGAAGCAGCCCGTAACAGCTGTCTAACACCCAGGTACCTATTTACTGCTAGGTAACAGGTGCGTCAGGGTGAAGGAAACTCTGCCCATTTGTTTTTCCGCCGGCTGCCGGGATCGAACCCGGGTCCCTAGGTTCACGAGTCTAAGGCGCTGTCCACTCAGCTAACCAGCCCGTGTGTGTACTCACCTAGTTGTACTCACCTACTTGTGCTTGCGGGGGTTGACCTCTGGCCCTTTGGTCCTCATTGTACTCGTTGTGTCTGTAGGGTTGAACACCAGCTCCTGGACCCCGGTTTCCCAGCCGCCGGTTGTCTAATGCAATAACTCCTACCCTATTTCGGAGTCTCAAGTTACCATCCATGCCCCTCTTGTTCACTTGGTGTTCATTTGTGAACATTTCTTCCTTTTCTACTCTGTAAATTTCCCCTGGGTATTTTGTACGTCTCTGCTATGTCTCTCCTCTCCTCTTTTTTTTTACGACGTCAGGTTTAGTTACCTTACGAGGTTGAGATTTTCAAAGTCAGAGAGAGGTGAGAAAAGGGTCAACCACGGCTGGGAAGATGGTGAAAGGTGCAGATTGTGTACAGTGAAGACGTGACTCCTTATCTCGCTCTCATATATAATTAAGCAAAAGAAAAACACAAGAAAATGAGTGGTAAGAAAAAGGAATATGAAACTTACATTGATAAGGACAAATAAAAGTTCCCCTCTAATGCTTCGTGAGTCCCTTTTCATTATATTATATATATATATATATATATATATATATATATATATATATATATATATATATATATATATATATATTTATTGTGTGTGTGTGTGTGTGTGTGTGTGTGTGTGTGTGTGTGTGTGTGTGTGTGCGCGTGTGTGTGTGTGTGTGTGCGTGTGTGTGTGTGTGTGTGTGTGTGTGTGTGTGTGTGTGTGTGTGTGTGTGTGTGTGTGTGTGTGTGTGTGTGTGTGTGTGTGTGTGTGTGTGTGTGTGTGTGTGTGTGTGTGTGTGTGTGTGTGTGTGTGTGTGTGTGTGTGTGTGTGTGTGCGTGTGTGTGTGTGCGCGTGTGTGTGAGCGTGTGTGTGTGTGTGTGTGCGTGTGTGTGTGTGTGTGTGTGTGTGTGTGCGTGTGTGTGTGCGTGTGTGTGTGTGTGTGTGTGTGTGTGTGTGTGTGTGTGCGTGTGTGTGTGTGTGTGTGTGTGCGTGTGTGTGTGCGTGTGTGTGTGTGTGCGTGTGTGTGTGTGTGTGTGTGTGTGTGTGTGTGTGTGTGTGTGTGTGTGTGTGTGTGTGTGTGTGTGTGTGTGTGTGTGTGTGTGTGTGTGTGTGTGTGTGTGCGTGTGTGTGTGTGTGTGTGTGCGTGTGTGTGTGCGTGTGTGTGTGTGTGCGTGTGTGTGTGTGTGTGTGTGTGTGTGTGTGTGTGTGTGTGTGTGTGTGTGTGTGTGTGTGTGTGTGTGTGTGTGTGTGTGTGTGTGTGTGCGTGCGTGTGTGTGTGTGTGTGTGTGTGTGTGTGTGTGTGTGTGTGTGTGTGTGTGTGTGTGTGTGTGTGTGTGTGTGTGTGTGTGTGTGTGCGTGCGTGCGTGTGTGTGTGTGTGTGTGTGTGTGTGTGTGTGTGTGCGTGCGTGTGTGTGTGTGTGTGTGTGTGTGTGTGTGTGTGTGTGTGTGTGTGTGTGTGTGCGTGTGTGTGTGTGTGTGTGTGTGTGATATGAGGTGTTAATTATTTATATTTCCATTTCTGTTGTTGTTGAGAGTATTGACTGTGTACTTGGACACCAGCACTAGTCGAGGGGTTTTGGCAGGTGCTGTTATTAAACCTTTTTTTTTCCATTCTGCCTTTGCCACTCTCCGACACGTTTTCAACTGTGTACACATTTGTGCTTCCAAGTTTAACATTCAGTCGCTAGGTGTCGGTGAAGGGGGGGGGGATTGGGGGTGATTGGTGGATCGGGGGGGGGGGTGAAAGAGGGGGGGGCAAGATAATCACAAGGGGGGGGGGGTAACAAGGGCAAAATAAATGGTTTGAAAATTTAGCGTTTTATTTCCAGCGTTTCTAGATATATCATTTGACAACTTGTGGATTATATTCTCTCCGGTTAAGATCTCAAGTTACTGAGACTCTCAGAACCCTTTCTATATTTATGTATAAGGGGGTTTGGACAGATATTTGATGCCTCTTTTTATACATTTCTGAGCGTTGTGGCCTCTATACAACCTTTTGGTGTTCTTCATCATTCAAAATAGTTTCTGCTAACTTATAAATTATTTATTAGTTTATTATTAGTTTCTGCTATCATTATAAATTATTTATGTTGAAGATCTGTCTCCCGTCTGAGTTTAGTTTCCTGTTTGGGCGTTTCATTCGTGTTGACAGTATAATGGATTACACGCATTCGTGAACTCCCTCTGTTGCTACCGTTCGCAACCCGTTTTCGCACTTGCTTAGTCAATATTGGCTTATTTAACAAGTGCATATGTGACATACTAATTGATTGTGAATATTTTAGTTTACCTTGAAAAGCTTCATAGAAAACACCGACCTCACCTAACCTTCTTAGTATGTTAAGACAAGCATCTTATTGCTTCTTAATTACAATTATTACTTAACCTATACCGTTTTCTATGAAGCTTTTCAAGGTAAAGTAAAATATTCACAATCAATTAGTATGTCACATATGCACTTATTAAATAAGCCAATATTGACCATAAGCAAGTGCGAGAACGGGTTGCCGTTCGTGTGTGCGTCCTTCACGGGCTTCACGGGTTAATAAATAATGGCGTTTTACGTTTTACGGCGTTTTACGGCTCACTTTCGTAATGTTGCTGTTGACTCCTGATGGTAAATACTTGACTCCCCCGCGAGCCCTGGCGGTCTCTGGCCACCAACGACCCGCGGTACTTGCTCCTGTGGAACTATCAGGGAGAAAGCGCCAAGCCATTGCGACTATATAGCACTGGGAAGGGGTCAGGATAAGGGTTTGGGATGGGACGGACGGGAAAGGAATGGTGCCCAACCACTTGTGGACGGTCGGGGATTGAACGGTGACCTGCATGAAGCGAGACCGTAGCTCTACCGTCCAGCCCAAGTGGTTGGGCATGTTCCTGTGGAGAATATCGGTATAGGAGCCACGAGGGGCATTCGAAGCTATGCTCTGGGTATGCTCCATAAAGTCATCGTTGTATAGAAATATATCTCCTCATAATTACCTCATCTTGCGACTGTTGTGTGTCCAGGAATCAGGATTCATTAATCACGTACGAAACATTTACATCTTCCATCATAGCAGCTTTGTTTTCGTTAAACAGTTTGTTTACAAGCTTCGAATGTCCACAACCCAAGGTTATTGTCGTTATAAACACTCTTGTAGTGCTTCAGAGTTCATAAACTCTTAATTAAATATGAGTGAAGTCACTGTATGATTAAGGAAAGATACAGAGGTTTCGTTAGTAGTTGGGGAAAGAATGTTAATTCCCTTATAATCTTTAGCTCCACTGCTACCTGAGCTCGTGGCCCCGTTACCTGACCTGGTCTGTTTCTCCCACAGTGGGCAAGCTGGAATCTTCTCCCAAATGGTCGTCGGCCGCACCGGCGACTTCGGCTCCCGCAGGCGGCGCAGGCGGCTGCAACTCCCCCCTCACAGCCCTGGAGCGCCCCTCATCATGCCCCTCGCCCGTCCCCCTCACCACCCTCACCGCCCACTCCGCCCACCACGGGGGGAACGTGGGCGTGCACAGCAGCATGGGCGGCATGCAGCAGGGGCACCCACCCCCACCGTTCTCTCTGCTGAACCACACCGTCAACAACTACATGCTGCCAGACCCCACCAAGAGCAACCTCATCTCCCAGCTCTTCTAACTACCTCAGCCCCTCACAGCCGCCCCCCTCACGCCCACCGCCCCCTCACGCCCGCCGCCCCATCATGCCCGCCGCCCCTTGACACCCGAGCCCTCACAATACACAGCTAATCAAACATTACCCAACCAATCAAGTCAAGACCAATCCAGGATGGAGAAGCGACTTGCGACTGCATACCTCTCCGTGACGGTGGGCCGCCCCGGGCTGTCTAACACGTGACTGACAGTTCCCTCCCGTGGGGTGCCCAGGCGAGCTGGTACAGGCGGGGAAGCCAAGCCCCCCCACACCCCCACCCCGAGGGCTTCGAACCCGCTTCCTCCCTCCCTCTAGTTGACAGTATACCAGAGGTCCGTCAGTGGCGCCAGAAGACAAACCTGCTGTGTAGAACTTCTGCCAAATTTACCAAAACTCAAATGTAAAATGCTTATTGGCTCTTTGGAAATTCCGTGGAGCGGCTAGTGAGACACTTGTCTAGGTGTGTACACTAAGCCGTCAGTGGTGGACGGTGGTCGTTTTTAAGAGTTTGATATTGTTTTGGAAAGCTTTGAGGAAGCGGTGAACGAGGGTGGTGGCGGTGGTAGAGGGCGGCAAGCCTCGTCAGCCCCAACACCAGCCCACACTGAGGCCCTCACAGCCCTACACTGGCCCCCCCCTCTACTTCCCCGGATGCCCTCAGCTAGGGTAGGGTGCCACATCTCTCAACTGAGGCACCGCAGCTCTCAGCTCGGGGGCCACAAAGCCCTCGGCTGGGCACCAAAAGCCCAGCCCCCCAAAAAACCCGCATTTTGGGTAAACTGTACATAATTTGTGTTACTTTACTCTAGATAAGCGAGTGACGTGTCCCGTGTGTGTGGTGTAGGTGGAAGTGTTCCCAACCAGTCCTCGTGGGAGTCTACTGGTGCAGGAGACGTCACAAGTGACACATCGTTACATGAGTGAGTTTCAGGTCAGCCAGTGTCAGCAGACAGGCACAGACAGGGAGTCACCACGTAACGGGTCTGAAAATCTCACACACTCGACCCCACACATCTGAAAATAAAGACGGTGACGACGTGTCGGTTCGTCCTGGTCCATAACCAAGTGTACAATATGTAAACTCAGAAAGCTGTATAAAAGCAGAAGTTTCCGAGCACATGACTGCGTCTTGGGAGGCGCAGCTCCGCAGCCTCGGGTCCCTATACCAGTAGACTTCCCCTTCTCCTTCAGGTGAAACGGATTTGCGAGTTTACAAGAAAGAATGTTTATACTTTTTGCCAGACTTTTTCGCATATTCAAGTGTGACACTCACATTGAGCTTCTTCAGTGTTAAGATTATAGTGGTTTGAGTGACGATATATTTACACGTGTAAAGCAGATTTAAGAGGATTTGTTTTTGCGGAAAGGAAGACGTTTCTCCAGAACGTTATGCAGGGACGAGCCCGCGGACGAGCCCGCGGACGAGACCATGGACGAGCTGTGGGCTCTTCCCGTGTAGGACAACAACGGGATCTCATCCCCAGGTCCTCAGCCCCAGGGTCCTCTGTCCCAGGGTTCTCAGCCCCAGGGTCCTCAGTCCCAGGGTCCTCAGCCCCAGGGTCCTCAGCCCCAGGGTCCTCAGCCCCAGGGCCTCAGCCCCTGGAGACCCCGGTGCCGAGAACCGCGCGCAGTATGTGGATGAATGTTCGGGAATCCAGTTTACAAATATATACATTGTTGCAGTTCTAGACACATCCACCGTGTACATTGTGGCTCCATCTCATCTCCAAGCAAAATATTCTTTCCACAAATTGACTTCGAGTCTTCTGCCACGTTTCTCAGATCCAGTTTTAATAAGTAACCGGCGTGTTTATTTGGTAGTTACTGTGTGGCAGGCAGCCTTGAGGAGGTTACCTCTCAAGGTGCCCAACTTGTCTCCTTGTGAGACACCATCCTTGGGGTCTGGTCCTCTCCCTGTGAGACACCATCCTTGGGTCTGGTCCTCTCCCTGTGAGACACCATCCTTGGGTCTGGTCCTCTCCCTGTGAGACACCATCCTTGGGTCAGGTCCTCTCCCTGTGAGACACCATCCTTGGGTCTGGTCCTCTCCCTGTGAGACACCATCCTTGGGTCTAGTCCTCTCCCTGTGAGACACCATCCTTGGGTCTAGTCCTCTCCCTGTGAGACACCATCCTTGGGTCAGGTCCTCTCCCTGTGAGACACCATCCTTGGGTCAGGTCCTCTCCCTGTGAGACACCATCCTTGGGTCAGGTCCTCTCCCTGAGAGACACCATCCTTGGGTCTAGTCCTCTCCCTGTGAGACACCATCCTTGGGTCTAGTCCTCTCCCTGTGAGACACCATCCTTGGGTCAGGTCCTCTCCCTGTGAGACACCATCCTTGGGTCAGGTCCTCTCCCTGTGAGACACCATCCTGGGGTCTAGTCCTCTCCCTGTGAGACACCATCCTTGGGTCTGGTCCTCTCCCTGTGAGACACCATCCTTGGGTCAGGTCCTCTCCCTGTGAGACACCATCCTGGGGTCTAGTCCTCTCCCTGTGAGACACCATCCTTGGGTCTGGTCCTCTCCCTGTGAGACACCATCCTTGGGTCTGGGTCTAGTCCTCTCCCTGTGAGACACCATCCTTGGGTCTAGTCCTCTCCCTGTGAGACACCATCCTTGGGTCAGGTCCTCTCCCTGTGAGACACCATCCTTGGGTCTAGTCCTCTCCCTGAGAGACACTATCCTTGGGTCTAGTCCTCTCCCTGTGAGACACCATCCTTGGGTCTAGTCCTCTCCCTGTGAGACACCATCCTTGGGTCTGGTCCTCTCCCTGTGAGACACCATCCTTGGGTCTAGTCCTCTCCCTGTGAGACACCATCCTTGGGTCAGGTCCTCTCCCTGTGAGACACCATCCTTGGGTCTAGTCCTCTCCCTGAGAGACACTATCCTTGGGTCTAGTCCTCTCCCTGTGAGACACCATCCTTGGGTCTAGTCCTCTCCCTGTGAGACACCATCCTTGGGTCTAGTCCTCTCCCTGAGAGACACTATCCTTGGGTCTAGTCCTCTCCCTGTGAGACACCATCCTTGGGTCTAGTCCTCTCCCTGTGAGACACCATCCTTGGGTCAGGTCCTCTCCCTGTGAGAAATCAATTTCCCCATAGAATGGTGAGAGACACTGGCCGCGTGATCTCCCTCACAATCTTGTAAATAAAGACCAAAGATTTCCTCTGTCATAATACCTAAGGGTACTTGACCAGGGATGACTCCTCCCCCCCCCTTGTCTCTCTCTCTCTCTCTCTCTCTCTCTCTCTCTCTCTCTCTCTCGCGTGCGCGCGCTTTTAAATTTAATGCCTAGTAGAACCCACCTTTTCTTGTGTACATATGTGTTGGAGGAATTTTATCATCTTATGTCTTGAGGAAAAAAAATATATAAATCTTGTATCAAAATTAATCATTTCACTGGTTGTTTACAGTGTATATATATAAATAAATATATAGGAAACTGGCCTTATAGAATCCCCCCCCCCCCGTCTTATGACCCAAATTTGGCTCATATAAGACACTTGTAGCATTATTGTGAGTGACTTTTAAGACTTGATTGTGAGATAAAGAAAAAAAAAACAATAATTATATTTGAAATTTCATATCAATTCAACCACGGACACAAACCTGCCCATACCGTAGCATGTTGTTGTTGTTGTTTAAGATTCGCTGCTTGCAACAAAAAAGTTCCAAGCAGCACGGGCTATGGTGAGCCCCGTAGTGGACTTAGGAGCTTTGAGCTGGTGATGACCACCTGAAATGATGACCTCAGGTGGTCATTATTTCCTCTAGTGGTAAAAACTCATCTTTTTTTTTTTGTATCTCAGATTGTCTTTTTACCTGAAAGATAAAGGTCACAAAGCCAGAGATGAGGACTGCGGAGGGTCCTCACAGCCTGCGGAGGGTCCTCACAGCCTGTGGAGGGTCCTCACAGCCTGTGGAGGGTCCTCACAGCCTGCGGAGGGTCCTCACAGCCTGTGGAGGGTCCTCACAGCCTGCGGAGGGTCCTCACAGCCTGTGGAGGGTCCTCACAGCCTGCGGAGGGTCCTCACAGCCTGCGGAGGGTCCTGCCTGTGGAGGGTCCTCACAGCCTGCGGAGGGTCCTCACAGCCTGTGGAGGGTCCTCACAGCCTGCGGAGGGTCCTCACAGCCTGTGGAGGGTCCTCACAGCCTGCGGAGGGTCCTCACAGCCTGCGAAGGGTCCTCACAGCCTGTGGAGGGTCCTCACAGCCTGTGGAGGGTCCTCACAGTCTGCGGAAGGTCCTCACAGCCTGTGGAGGGTCCTCACAGCCTGTGGAGGGTCCTCACAGCCTGCACAGGGTCCTCACAGCCTGCGGAGGGTCCTCACAGCCTGCGGAGGGTCCTCACAGCCTGCGGAGGGTCCTCACAGCCTGTGGAGGGTCCTCACAGCCTGCGGAGGGTCCTCACAGCCTGTGGAGGGTCCTCACAGCCTGCGGAGGGTCCTCACAGCCTGTGGAGGGTCCTCACAGCCTGCGGAGGGTCCTCACAGCCTGCGGTGAGGAAAAGTGTTTGGTGGAACTGGCTATTGTGTCCTTGTTCCATTGTGATAACAAGGTTTGTTTATACCACTGTGATAACACCTTCTGTGGGTATCACGGAGATAACATCTGTTTGGACCACCGAGATAACAGTTCCTGGTTGTACCACCGAGATAACAGTTCCCTGGTTGTACCACCGAGATAACAGTTCCTGGTTGTACCACCGAGATAACAGTACCCTGGTTGTACCACCGAGATAACAATTTCCTGGTTGTACCACCGAGATAACAGTACCCTCGTTGTACCACCGAGATAACAGTACCCTGGTTGTACCACCGAGATAACAGTACCCTGGTTGTACCACCGAGATAACAATTTCCTGGTTGTACCACCGAGATAACAGTACCCTCGTTGTACCACCGAGATAACAGTACCCTGGTTGTACCACCGAGATAACAGTTCCTGGTTGTACCACCGAGATAACAGTACCCTGGTTGTACCACC